AAACCCCCAAAATACCTTTAAAACATACAAAACCCCCACAAAAGATCCCCTGATCCAGGTGACCAACATATCCAAATATCAACCAGATCAGTTCAGGGGTTCAGGAATTTCCTGGAAGTCCTTTATTTGACCGATTGCACGCATGGTGCCATGCCCAAAACAGTTCCATAGAATCAGGGCTTGCGGTCGGTCTAGTTCGTTAGTTTAAAAATAAACAAACTACCGAACATAGTCAATGTTCTTACCCTGGAGCTTATTCCCCTTATCCAGACGAACGATTTCACTGAACAGTGCCCTTCTAAAGTGTATAGAACCGAACACAGGCGATGATGGAAGTTCAGCGATGTTCAAGAGTTTCTGTGTCCGATTTTAGTTCCATGCGATTTATGCTCATACACCAGTGTCTGCGTTCATGCGAACAAGATGGCCGCCACCTCGTGGTTTTCCATAGGAATTGCGTCCACACAGACGAACAATTAGAAAACTGTGGTGAGAACCATTCCAATGTGTTAATAGGTGTTAACAAGCTTCTGGGTGGTCCTTGGTTCGTGCGGTTGTTCGGTAGTCAACCGGGACAATGTTAGAATAGGAAGGGAATGCAATCTATCTAACAGAATAGCAAAAAGGCAGAAACAAGGTATTTTATTAGCCTTTTTGAATTGCCCATAGTCCTGAAGCAGGAGGCTGGGAAACAAGACACGCAAAGTACCAGTGGCGAGGTTGCTTTCACCACATATCTTCCCCCCTAAGGTAAGACTAACCAGATACCTGAGTTAGTCAAGTAGCCCACCCATAAACAAGTACTGGACCTGGTGACTTTTGTAGCCCATCTCTGTCCTGTGTGTCCCCAGCTGTTAAGTGGTTCCTCCTGTCAGATGTTCCGCCATTAATGTGATATTGTGTGGGAGGTAATACTCAAAGATTTCCTTCATGAGTTCTGCCAGCGTCTGAGTGCGAGTGACACCTAGGTGATTGATGTATCGAACTGCAGAGACATTGTCCATGCGAAGTAGGATACAGCAATTGGATTTCCCTTTCACTAGGCTTCGAATAGCGAAGGCGTCTGTCAGTAGTTCCAGAGAATTGATGTGAAGGGCGAGTTCTTCTGTCGGCCAGACACCTCATGTGGTCGTCTTCCCATCAGTGGCACCTCAACCCCATTGACTGGCATCCATATCTATGACAATGTCTGGCCATTTGCCAAAGATGGCTCGATTGTTCCATGCCTGCATACATTCGAGCCACCATTGAAGTTTTAGCCATACCTCCTCTGTCAGGGGGACCGTTTGATCGTACGTAGAATTTCTCCTAAGCAAACAATTTCACTGACGATATATTTTTTATATGGAATGGGGACGAATTGAGCCTTGCTAATTTTTTAAGTTTTCTCAATTCCAATGATTTGGGTATATATAGACCTCACAAGTTGTCACCATACCCCATGGCTTGCGAATGCACCAAAAAGCCAATTCATGAGGTTGAGAAGAAATTGCAAGAAAGAAAATGATTTTAGTAGACAAACCGAAGTGATCAAGGAACAGTTTATAGAAAAGGGGAACAAAGAAGAAGACCTCCAAACAAGTCTAGAAGAAGTTAAGAGGATGGAAAGAAAAGAGTTATTAAAATAGAAGAAGAAAAATAAGGAGGACAAAAATATGGGAGTCCCATTTATTTGTAATTTCTCCACCAGGAACAAAAAAGTACGATATGCTATTAATAAGTACTGGCACCTTCTACAAGATGACCCTATTTTAAAAAAATATATTACTGTTGAAACCTAAAATTATACATAGAGGTTGTAACAATATTAAAAACATACTAGTAAAAAGTAACTATAAAGATCCATTAAATACTAATAATAACTTTCTAACTAACAATAAAGGTTTCTGTGGATGTGGAGCGTGCGGAGCATGTAGGGAAACAAATAGTAAGAAAAGGAACATAAAAAATTTAAATGAATTCACAAAAAAATTTTTATAATAAGAGCCCAACTAACTTGTTTCTCCAAGAATATAATTTATTTATTAAAATGTTCATGCAATTTGTTATACGTAGGGAGAACAATTAGATGTTTGCACACTAGAGTATCCGAACATGTGAGAAATATTAAGAAAGGAGTTGAGACACATAATGTCTCATCATTTTAAAAACTTCCATAACCAAAACCCAAAAGATCTCACATTTTGTGCACTAAAAGTAGTTAAAAAAAAAACTGGAGGGAAGGAGACTTTACAAAGAAAATTGGAATTGAGGAAATGAAACTCATTTTTAACTTGGATACTTTAGCACCCCACGGTCTTAACTTAGATTTTGAAGTATGTCATTTTTTATCATAAGATAATATTTTTAATTCATTGGAAAAACATTTTTTACTATGACTCAACCCAGTAGTTTTTTTTAATTTTATTTTTTTTATCGTATCCCTCCTCCATTTTTTATTGAAATGATGCACTGCAAGGTGATGTGGTAATTTGCACTAATTGAAAATATACAACTTATTAAGTATTTTTAACCCCTTGACGACCGATGACGGTTCAGGACCGTCATCGGAAAAATCCCCTTGGGGACCGATGACGGTCCTGAACCGTTATAGCGGTCTGGGGTTACTTACCTGATCACCGTCGGTCCCCCGGTGGCAATCAGCGCTCCTCCCGGTCCAGGGGGACTGCCTGTCTGCCCGGGCAGTTTCCCCTCGGCAGATCAGGACCCCGCGGCCACGTGAGCACTCGACGTGGCCGCAATAGGTGCCTGTGTATCTGCCTACAGGGGGATTGTGTGTGCTGACAGGCAGTCTCCCTGCAAGTGAAAAATCAAAAATAAAGTTATATGTATATATATATATATATATATATATATCATATATATAATGCCATACTAAGTGTATTTTTATATTTATATATACGTATATTAATATAAAAATACACTTTTAATTTAAATTACACACGTATATATACAATATATATTATAACTATATATATTGTATATATATATATATATTATTATAAATTATAAATAATATGTTAATAAAAATAAATAAAAAGTAAAAATAGTAAATAACAAAATAGTAAAAATAATTTTTAATAATTAAAAAAATTACATATATATGTAATTTTATTCTAACAGTATTTTGTTATTAAAATATATATATATATATATATATATTAAAATACACTTAGAATGTAATGATATATATATCTATGCATAAATAAATAAATAAATAAAAATAATACGAAATATACTTAATTACATAAATAATTTCATAAATATACACGTAGATGTCAAAAATATAAATATGTATATATTTTAAAATTCTACGTGCGTATTTATGTAATATTTTTACCTAATTAAGTAATTTTAATGATTGCAATTTGAGGGACCTGCCTGCCAACCCAGGCCGAAAGTCCAGAGAATTTAATTTGCTAGCACTGTGTTTAACCCTGTAACTTTCTATGACACCCTAAAACCTGTACATGGGGGGAACTGTTTTACTCAGGAGACTTCGCTGAACACAAATATTAGTGTTTCAAAACAGTAAAACATATCACAGCGATGATATTGTCAGTGAAAGTGATGTTTTTTGCATTTTTCACACACAAACTGCACTTTCACTGATGATATTATTGCTGTGATACATTTTACTGTTCTAATACACTAATATTTGTGTTCAGCGAAGTCTCCTGAGTATAAAAGTACTCCACATGTAGAGGTTTTATAGTGTTTGTGAAAGTTACAGGGTTAAATATAAGGCTTGATTTTACTTTTTTTTTAATTGAAATTTGTCAGATTGGTTAGGTTGCCTTTGAGAGCGTATTGTAGCCCAGGAATGAGAATTAGCCCCATCATGGCATACCATTTGCAAAAGAAGACAACCCAAGGTATTGCAAATGGGGTATGTTCAGCCTTTTTTAGTAGCCACTTAGTCACAAACACTGGCCAAAGTTAGTGTTTTTTTGCATTTTTAACACATAAACAAATATAAATGCTAACTTTGGTCAGTGTTTGTGACTAGGTGGCTACTAAAAAAGACTGGACATACCTCATTTTGAATACCTTGGGTTGTCTACTTTAAAAAAATATGTACATGTGAGGTGTGATTCGGGGATTTATGACAGATAACGGTGTTACAATGTCACTATTGATAAATTTAAAATATATATATATATATATATATATTGAAACAGCAATTTCCTACTTGTATTTATAGGCCTATAACCTGCAAAAAAAAGCAATAAAGCATGTAAACACTGGGTGTTTTTAAACTCGGGACAAAATTTTGAATCTATTTAGCAGTTTTTTTCATTAGCTTTTGTAGATAAGTAAAAGATTTTTCAAGTAAAATCCAAAAACATGTTGTTGTTTTTTCAATTTTTCACAATATTTTATTTTATTTTTTTAAATAAAATATATGACATGATACAAATAATGGTATGTAAAGAAAGCCCTTCTTTTCCTGAAAAAAACAATATATAACTTGTATGGGAACCGTAAATGATAGAGAGGAAAATTACAGCTAAACACAAACACCACAAAAGTGTCAAAACTGCTCTGGTCCTTACAACATCGCAAAAACAGGCCGGTCCTTAAGGGGTTAAAAAAAGAATAACACTGAGCACTTTAAAATGTCTTTTGAAACATCTGTGGGATCAATGTATAACTTGTATGAATGTTGATATAGAATCATATCTCTGTTAATAACTCTTAAAATATGTATTCCTTCTAATTGTTTCTACTCTCATTTTCAAATGGACGACATATGCCTAAAGGAATCTCTGCATGAAACACACAGCATAACGATGTCTGCGCTTTATTCAGGGATGTAAACACGTTAACGTGTTTGTTCAGTTCTTTCATGAACTGATCGCCAAATAATTTTAATTTGAGGGCGAATATTTTGCCGTTATTTTGTGAGTTTTGTGGGTCAAACATCTGTTGGCCCGTGGAGTCAAAGAAAATCTCACAGTCCGTTTCCTCGGTCATGTCACTCATCTGCAGGGGCTCACCCAGAAATGTTTCATTAATGAAAGAATTGGGGCCCCACGTGCCATCATCTGAATGGGAGTCATTAGCTTGCCATTCGTCAAGGAAGGATAGTGAGGAAGGCATATCGAGCTCCTCATACGAGGAGACAGTATGAGTCATGGGGTTCACTGGTCTTGCCCTTCTTCCTTTCTTAAGGGGAGCCTTACCTTTTAAAGGTTTTGGCTTGGACCCTTCGCCCTTCCAATAGCATTTTGCTGGGCGTCCATGGTCCTTGGATGATAAATCTGAGTCGTCAGATACTTTTCTCCTTTGAGAGTGCTTAGGTCCTTTGGTAGTATGCTGCGCGGCAGGCAGCGCCTTAGCCAAGGCCTTCTCTACTGATGCGGAAACTGCCGCATTAATCAGTGCTTGAAGATCCGAGGGCATCTGAGAATCTTCCATGTTGGGATATTAAATAGTATTGGGGCTCACCCAAATTAAAATCTGTGATAAAATGAAAGGCAAATTGGTGATGGGGCTGCTTGGGGTACAGTGGTCACCCAGTAATAAGGAGACTGCCTGGAGTGTCCCTTTAATAATAACAGCGGGTACTGATTTCCACCCCCCCCATTCCATACCCATTGGCGGGGGGCCAAAATGGTAATGGGGTGGACCTAAATAATAAAGTTATCTTATTTCCCCCCTAGCACCCACCCTTTTGACACAGGCGTGGGCCTTAAATCATAAAGTGTAGGCTGGACATATTCTCTCCCCCAGCCAACATCTGACTTTGGGTGCTAATAATAAAGATGTAGTCACCCCCATAAAAAAATATCCCCCCCCCCCCATACTGATAAAAATGAGGGAAACAAGAAAAAAGCCAGACAAGAAAATAATCCATCTTCATCCCATGAGAGCTTCACGCAGACTGAGTTTGCAGGGTGGGGAAAGCCTTATAAAGTTTCCCCACACTGTGAAATTTAACTCAAAGTGCTCTGCTTGGTTGACTTACATCAACTAATCAGAGTCCTCTGACAGGTAAATCTTGAGACTGTGACAGTAAATCTTGTCAGATAAATGTTTAAACTGTAAGTGGGTGGGGCCTGGGAGTACAATAGATCCACTTCATTAGTTTTTATAGACCCCACCCACTGCCAATGGTGGGGGAAAATGGACACTATGCCTCTCTATTATTTAGTTTATTAGCACACACTCATGAGGCATGGGTGGAGGGTACATGGAGGACACTATGTCCACCCCAGTTGATTATTTAAATAGATGCCAGGTCCCCCTTTATTGGATTAGCGAGTTGGCAGCACTAACTACCCAGCCGCTAGTCTTTTCTTGATAGCAAACAGCCACTAACTGCTCACTGTTTAGTACACATGCCCCTACTTGGGCCATGGAAGGTAGGAGCAGAGGGGAGATTTTATCCTCCCTTATTCTAATATGGGGGTCACATTTACCCCCCCCAGGGTGAAAGGGGCATGTGGTGATTTAGGAAGCGGCAGGAAAAACAGAGAGCTGGTAGCTCCCTCCTTGTAGCTAACTAAATGAACAAATGAAGAACAAATTGCACAGATGAAATTTCGTCCAACAACTAATTTCGACTTTGTTTTATTTACTGTAATTTGTATTCGTTCATTTGTTTTTCAGACAAATTAATGAATAGCTGAAATTCAGACGAAAATATATTCATCCAAAAATGAATGTCCAAGTCTAGTATATTGTGTCTTTTTTTCCCCAGTTGTACAGCTCTGCAAAATATGGTCATGCTTTATAAATTCCAGTAATAACAATGCAGGATAATGTGTAAAACTCACCAATAATGGCTTCTAAGTAGTTTTATTTTATTTTTTTTTCACACAAAATGGATGTCATAGTGTGATAAAGTATACATTAGTATATGAAAAACAACATGTGTGATGTTGGTTACATATGTGAAATTATATCCTATATATATGTTGCTAAGTAATTAGGCATTGTTGCTAACATGAATTCCTTTCTCCTGAATACCACTAGAAATATGTGATTCGGTTCATTAGTTCTATTCCAATCTCTCCTGAAGTGAATCTAGTGTAATCTTATAATTCATTATGAATTATAAAAATAGAGAGTTTCTAAGAACTGAAAACATAATAACATATTACTTTGATGCATACTGGAGTATATAATAATCCATGAATGTTACCAGCTAAATGATTTAAAACATATTCTATTAAGTAAGCAAACCTAATAAATCTTTATATGCAAAAACTAAAAGATAAACTAGAAGTGAGAGAAAGAATTAACAAAACATAGTTAATAACTTGAAAGAGAGTTCTTGTGGGACTTGTACCAGTAGGTTTCAAAGTATATGGCCAATTTAGTTTTCAATTAATGTGTATGTTTTGGATGTAAATCAGTGTTCTATTCTGCTTAGGGACTATATTAGTATAAAGTAATCTATCTTTATATATATACTATACTATGAATGAGTTCAGATGAATCAATTTAAAAAAAAATAATACAAAAGAACTAACTGGGTTATTCATTAAACACCCAATTTTTGTGAAAATTCTCATTTTCACTAAAATCAAATTCTCATTTTCACTAAAATCAAATGTGGTCAGAATTTTGTCGGCCCAAGAAAATCTGCAGAAATTGCCTAGATGCATTCAGTGCTTTTGCATCTGAATCCAATATGAAGTGTAGGACTTGGAAGAGTCACAAAGTGCTAGCAGTTGGGAGCATATTTACTAACATGTTAAAACTAGCAACTGGGCAGCCATTACTGCCCACTCACTAGAACAAAAAAATCCCATGGGGCCTGTGAAATAACTGGGAGGGACATAGTCCCGCTTTCATGCCCCTTACTAGTGAGCATAGGGTGGGGGAGTTGAAAATTTAAAGTATTAGGGGGTGGACAGATTACTGTAAACCTCCCTGTCCAATCCATGGCCAAGGGATGAGGACCTATACAAAATGATTAGGATGCAAACCACAATTATCAATCAAGTAAAAAACTTTATTAAGAATAATATATATAACATACAAAGACAAAAAATAGGGGGGAAATGGCTAGTAAACTTAAGGCATGAAATAGTACACTACACTAGCCTATCAAGACAGGACACAAGTCTCTAACCCCCAAAGTTTTGGCTCCTCACTGAATGCTTTCTCAATCGTGTATAGAATTTTAGTCCAATCCAGTAGATGATTTTTGACTGGATTTTGCAGAAAGAAGGGAATCAATACCTACGTTGTAAATTTATCCCCCATTGAATTGATTGCTAGAAGATGAATGACTCTGGTGGACTGTGGCTCGTAATATGCTCATTGATATTCTGGCTGAGGCTGGTGGGAGTTACAAATAACAGATGATGTACAAACTGAATCATTTGCTAAACAGCTTATGTGAAATATAACTCCACCTTTCATACCCATTGATTGGTTTAGCCTGATAAGAACCTTAGTCCAAAATAGTTTTATATAGCAAAGCACTATTTTAATGGACAGAAGAAATAATATGTAAAATGGCAATTGCAAATATAGCCCTGAAATATGATTTTATTAGACAAATACATTGATTGTAGTAAAACCACTGTAAATGTTGATAAAACTACCCATCTCTAAGAGAAGATAAGGTCTTAAGAAGTTTTTGATTGGACAATGTGTTAGCTCCACTGTCTTGATCTACAGCTAAAGCAAGAAGAGGAATTGTTACTACCCAGGAATATTATATGCATGTATGTATGTATGTTATGTATGTATGTATTTACATGCATTTGCATAAATATCCATAACCCCTATTAATTCTTATCCAGTACCCTGTCAATTATTATTACAAATGGTGTCCTGTGTGCCTGTCAGTCAGTGTAGAGAAAGCATACAGATAAATAAATTATGTTTCCATTTCTCCTCTTTGTGGGCAATAATTGGCCAGGCTTTACCTTGTCTGGGTTCGATTAGGATGTAATATGCTCAATCTTTAATGTAAATTTACATGGAAATGCAGCATCTCATGGAAAAAGGTTTAACAAAAAGAATAAAATGTACACCAAATAAAGTGTCTAAATGGTGACTGATTGTGACAAGAGGAATTGTAGAATGCATCAAAAGGGAAACATTCAAATCATTTCCCCCGTAAGAGGCCAAAGATATGCAATTGCTAGGAGCAGTTTTGGGTCCATCAGTTGTGGTACTTTACGTAATATTATACTGGAAATATGAAAATAATGCTTAAAAATGACAGCACATCTGAAGCCCCTACAAAAAAAAAAAAACCTCCACTTGCTATTCACTGATGGAGTTTCATGGACTCCAAAAAGCCCTGCTATCTGAAGAAATGTGAGACCATAGGATCACAGTAAAAGGTGCACCTACAGTGCTGCTTCAGAGAGCAACACAAACGTTAAATTAATGAATACACCGTGAGCATAAAATATATACTCAGCACGTAATAAAAGAGACTTGATTGACTCACAATTTGGATATATAAAGAAATAAATAAAGCATATTAGGACAAGGTTGAATGGCCAAACCATGAAAATTGGGATGCATGGGTAAAAAAGGATTAATAGTCTGCAGCCTCTGACCTTTACCCAACAACCTGGCCCAAAGTAATACAAAACTAAACTCCACAAGGCTCGTTTCACTCCCAAAATTGTTTTTTATTTTTTTTAATCTTAAATATATAAGTTTGGTTAGATACTCAATTTAATTCGCTTTCCAAATTATTCAGTACTTAAAAAAAAAAATAAATCAAAATAATTTGCACTATTAAAATTATTATAGAATTCCACGGTGACTACTGCAGATAAATCATTTGGGAAGTTTTTCTAAGAGTAATAAATCATTTGGAAAACTTATGAAATAAAGGCCATAATATGATTTGGAAACATTTAGCTTTGAAACAGAATTGCATTGGTTTTGTGCCTACCCTATAAATGTTATTCATGATATGAGTTATTCCCAAAGCCAGGACAAACAGATTAATCTATTGTCACATAATTGTCTGTAGATGTATTAATTATTTACAAACTACAAGTAGGCAAAACAGAAAAAGTCTGCAAATGTTTTTGTTATATATTTAAGTGGGATATAAAAAAAACCCCTATGTTTTCTTAAAACAGTGTACACTAAAATAATTAAGCTAGACAAAAAAAAATAACAGCATAAAAATACAAGCGTTGCTCTTTTTTTAAAAAGAGACACTATAGGTATCAAACTACTGCAGCTTAATGAAGCAGGTTTAGTGTATTAATCATGTACCTGCAGTCTCATTACTCAATTTTCTGCCATTTAGGAGTTAAATTGCTTTTATTTCTGTCTATGCAGCACTAGCCTTCACTGGCTCTGATTTATATTGCCTGTTCAAATAAATGGTTTCATTTTCAATCAAATGTCAACATACTTTGGAAGTGTTTATCTTATGCTTTGTAAATTGAACTTTATTTACACACAGTAGGCTTCTGCAGGAT